ATTTTTTTTAAACGCTGGACAACATAATTATGACTTAACTCTAATGGTGCACAGCTGAAGTACATGGCTACCTAGCTTTAATATTGCCACTCGGCCGAAAACGGTCGAAATACTATTTTTCAGCTCCTGAAATTCAATTCTTAAGTATAGGATCCTATGGAGGATTTAATAGTGGTCTGTTCTCTTATACAGGTTAAGTCAGTACCAGTGAACTCGGAGTTTGCTCGAGTTTGCTCGAACTCGGAGTTTGCTCGAGTTTACAAACTAAAGTTTGCTAGTGTAGACAGGGCTTTAGGGTTTAGGTTTTTTTTTGGGTTAGGGTTAGGGTTAGGGTTAGGTTTTTTTAAGTGCCTAGTAGTCATATCCTAAGTGCCTAGTAGTCATATCATATCGCATCTATCTGCCGGGTGCCCGGCCAACCTGTATTTAAAATTAAAATAGTTCCTAAAATTACCGATAGATAGCGCTTTTACAACATTAAATAATAATAATAATTTATCCTAGAAAATAACAAGTAAAAATTGTATACATAATCATGTTATAGCCACTAGTTTAATAAGTTATTTTATGCGTTTCAAAGAGTTTTAGATAAGTAGTTAATTAATTTTTTGTAAGGGAAAGCGAGCTCTGACTGCGTGACAGTCGCGGTCACGCTAGTTTCGCCATGTTTGTTGTCGAAATGTGTGCGTTTGTTGCGCCGTAATCGGTAGGTAGCCGTTTAAGCCGAAATTCACCGAATAAGAAGAAATAAGTGGGATAGTCCTGTTATAATATATACACGTAATATCTCTAGTGTCAATTTACTATTTTACATTTCATTATTTTGTCATAAACACGGAATGATCGACACATTAAGTGACAAAACTCGCGAATCTAAGGCCGAGAATGCACGCCGTTCAAATGTTTATTTTATGGAAAGAGAAGCATATCGAGATGGGTTATTACTATTAGTTAATTATCGGAAAAAGTAATCACAATCAACAGTCGCAATGGTTTCAAAATATACTGGAAGGCAGTTTTTGAATCGATTGCTTCAACTAAGAGACTGATCAATCTCAATTCTCATGCAGAAAGCTTTGTTCACAAATCAAGTCCAACAATATCTAAATACAAAAATGTAACCCAAACACAGGATAGGGTTACAACGCGAGCCTATTCTTTTCTTTGGAGGAACCCCTGAGTGAATCACTCAGGAAAACCCCTGAGTGAATCACTCAGGAAAACCCCTGAGTGAATCACTCAGGGGCGGTTTGCTGGTGCGTTTTCAGAGACTAGAACTTCAAAACTGGGTTTATTCTAAACACAAACCTTTCTTTGCTATCCTGGAACTTGCTATGTATCACAATACTCTGTATTAAACTAATATAACCTGTTACCAAATTTCGAAGCGACGAGCGGCTATATTTCGAGCGCTATTTCTGTTGACCTGTGACGTACGCATTCCCAATGCGCATAGCGTTCGGCTAACTTCGACTGACAGCAGGCATCCCGTGATGCATTCGGTCTTGGAGCCAGCCGAAGTTAGCCGAACGCTATGCGCATTGGGAATGCGTACGTCACAGGTCAACAGAAATGGCGTTCGAAATATAGCCGCTCGTCGCTTCGAAATTTGGTAACAGGTTATATTAGTTTAATACAGAGTATTGTGATACATAGCAAGTTCCAGGATAGCGAAGAAAGGTTCGTGTTTAGAACAAACCCAGTTTGGAAGTTCTAGTCTCTGAAAACGCACCAGCAAACCGCCCTGAGTGATTCACTCAGGGGTTCCTCCAAAGAAAAGAATAGGCTCGCGTTGTAACCCTACCCTGTGTTTGGGTTACATTATTGTATCTAAACAATATCCTGCTTACATCGAGCCTCTTTCCCATTAAACTTACCAGATGTATTAAAAGCGTTGATGTAAATAATAGCAAAGTGGTCATCTTTTTGTCATTAAGATCCTGAGATCGGCCACAAATGAAATGTGTAAGTAAATATTCAAATTGCAACCGTGCAGTGGTTCTGCTCCCCTATCCAATCCTAATACTAATAGCTCAAGTTTTATATAAATCCATACAACGTACTCTGTAGTTAACGAAAAATATTGTCACCGTAACATATGTCTAACAATTTTTTCTCTCATTTTACACGACACCAAAGACCAAAACTGATCAGGGCGACTCATTAGCAAAAACGACTAGCGTGACACACTAGCAAGAAGCCACCATGGCTATGCCTTTCTTTGTGGGGCAGCCCTACCTGTTGGGCATCCCTCCGCAGCAGCAGCAGCAGCAGCAGCCGCCACCGCAGCCTCCGCCGATGGCCATGCCACAGCAGCAGCAGCCTCAGGTGCAGCAGCAGTTTGTCAAGCCGCCACCGCTGTCCGAGGAAAAGCTGCAGGAAAAAGGCAAGTTGCGATTACTGTCTGGCGACGATCACAAGCCAAGGTGTTGACACGTCTAACCTAAGATAACATTCGTCTAATATTTGTCTAATTATTTACGAAAAGTATTTTTCGGGCGAGACAAGTGTGTGTGTCGGCGCTGTTCACTGTATGCTGTTGGAAAGAGATAGAGAGGGGTGTTTGGTTAGTAGAACAGACCCTCTGTTCCACGCCACGGTTAGCACTTACGTAATTCGTATCTGTATTCGATGTGTCTATTTCAATTCAATTTTTAGTTTGCTCTAACCTACTTTTAACCTGTTCACTTCTTTCTGTTTCGCAATATAAGGAACAACATTTACTAATGTTTTCAACCTGTTTGTCGTCGCCTACTTGCATGCGTCTTCCTCGCTTCGGCTCGCCTCTCGTCACGAGTGCGTCATCGGGTGTATTTTCGATTTGCTCTAGCCATACTCCTTTCCTGCTTGCAATAAGGAATTCTACTCCTTTACTAATGCTTTCGGCCTTCCTCTCCTTGCGTGTGACCCCCTCCCCTCTGCTCATGCCCTCCTGTCGCACGCGCGTATCTTCTAATCGTTGTCGTGTCGTCGTTTCAGCGCGGAAGTGGCAGCAGCTACAGTCGAAGCGCTACGCGGAGAAGCGTAAGTTTGGCTTCGTCGACGCGCAGAAGGAAGATATGCCGCCTGAGCACATCCGCAAGATCATCCGCGACCACGGCGACATGACCAACCGCAAGTTCCGCCATGACAAGCGCGTCTACCTCGGGTGAGCAGCGCCACCTGGTGCGATACGTGGCGAGGTGGTGTTGCGAAGTGCGGTCCGCGTGCATGGTTGGTGGCGGAGTCGGGTGAATCGTGTTTGAGTCGTGACTGTGGGTTCGGAAGCTTGTTCTGTCGTAGTGTGTGAAGCATGTATGATGTGCGGTGGTATTTTGTGCTTGTAGCTTGTGGACTGTAGCCGGCATTGGAGAGCTGCTCATAAATTAATAATGGCATATTTTCATTGTCACCAGTGAAAAAATACACGGGGGCTCGGGG